CCATCTGGAGGCCATCGCTACATGCTGGAGGCCATCGCTAGTAGGTTTAATAAAGACATTGGACACCTCGGTTCAAAGCTTGTGCCAAACCACCGAACCCACGCCTGTGGATCTCTGATCCACTGCAACTCCATCAGCAGTGTGTAGCCCACGGTCTCACATAGCAAACAAACATTTTGTGAAGAAACACGACACAAATGGACACTGATTGCAGTACGCCAAATCTCTCCAAATCTTCAAAGGAGTTCTTTGTCCCTTATAGACAGATGTACCCACGACTGTTTATGTGTATCTGGTCGATGCTACCATTAAGGAGTGGGTCGTGTGCCGCTAGCTTCCACCAGAAAATCAGTTGGCACAACAGCCACTCGAAGAATAGAAACAATAAGCTACTAGGAACAAGTGCATCGCTACTAGGAGCAAGGGCCTTACTAGTAGTAACAAGAAGCTATTAGAAACACTCTTCGCATCATGTCGGGAATCTTCTTGCACACAGGCTTCTCCCACGAGTCCGACAGCTTCGGTCGATGCCGAAAACAAGGGCATTACTACTAGTAGCAAGGACGCTACTAGGGGCTCCTGGCCTACTACTAGGAACAAGAAGCTACTAGTAGCAAGGGCATCGCTACTAGCAACAAGGGCATTACTACTAGTAGCAAATAGCTATCTAGTAGCTTCTTGCTACTAATAGTAATGCCCTTGTTGCTAGTAGCGATGCCCTTGCTGCTAGTTGCTACCTTACCTTTTTTATTTCCTTATGTTTCTTTATCTGTCCTTTTCTTTGCACCTATAGGCTTTTCTGTTTCTTTCCTTTCATTCGTATGTCTGATACTACCAACCAGAAGACTTTCCAAGACCTTGGTTGGGTCTGGACGCCACGACCAACCCCCTGTATAGTAGAAACAGGAACAGTCTACAGTATGTCAGTCTATGCTTGACACCGCTTCATTCTTTTCAACCTCGGTATCCAAGAAACCTGTTTTCAGCGTCATTTCAGTGTCTTTCGTTTCAGTCGCCCAATGCTCAAGACCACCGGCCTTCCGATCCGAGTTCCGCTGATCAGCGAAGCCACCCGCTGAGAGGGACATGCCATGAAGAGCTGCATATGGGCCTTGGAGAACATGAAAACAAAGGCATTAAAATGCATGAATAACATACATGCATGTTAATTATAACAGTAGCAAAACTCCTTTACATTCATAGGTCATAGGAGTCGTAGGCGATGAGCAACTTCACGATCAGTAACTGGTAAAGATGCAAGCACAACAAAGATGCAAACACAACCTCCAACCTAATAGCGTCCTTGCTCCTAGTAGCGATGCCAGGAGCCCCTAGTAGCGTCCTTCCTCCTAGTAGTAAGGCCAGCCCCTAGGCCCTAGTAGCTTCTTGTTCCTATTAGCGATGGCCTCCAACTAAAATCAAAAGCTCTCGTGGACAAGACGCCTTGGGCGCGTTGATCAACCAATCAACCTGTGTATCAATTCTTCGTCTAACTGGCAAGGTGCACTCATTGGCACGGACATGGGAGCCTTCCTTCACACCAGCAGGCCGCACCTGCGACTTCAAAAGGAAATCAGCTTTACAAGGTTACCAACAAAGAGAAGGAGACCATCAAACTTCTTGTCACCTCAATGTAAAGTTAAAATCTAACCATATACATATCGTCTTTTTTCGAACTTCCGAACTTGGTCACTCTTCACTACTCTTCGCCTGGAACTTGCCCGTGGAGGCCGAGCCCCATAAGGGTTGCTGCCGTTTCCAGCTCAGCGGGAAATAGCGCGCCAGCGTCATCCGTTCCATGTGAGAACGCTTCACCACCCTAAGCCGATCAGGACCGACGAGGCCGACAGGGCCGACAGGCGACGTCCACAAGTAGCGTCCTTGCTCCTAGTAGTAATGCCCTTGTTACTAGTAGCGATGCCCTTGTTACTAGTAGCGATGCCCTTGTTACTAGTAGCGATGCCCTTGTTACTAGTAGCGATGCCCTTGTTACTAGTAGCGATGCCCTTGTTACTAGTAGCGATGCCCTTGTTACTAGTAGCGATGCCCTTGTTACTAGTAGCGATGCCCTTGTTACTAGTAGCGATGCCCTTGTT